GGATAAGAAAACAAAACCCTTACATATGCTGCCCACAAGGGACTCACTTCAGATTGAAAGACACACACAGAGTGAAAGTAAAGGAATGAAAAAAGATAATTCATGAAAATGGAAATAAAAAAAAGCAAAAAAGCTTGGGAAGCAACAGTTATACCAGACAAAATGGTCCTTAAAACAAAGGCTATAACAAGAGACAAAGAAGGACCCGTAATCCCACTCCTGAGTATTTTTCTGAAGAAACCTAAAATGCTATTTTGAGGGAAGCTGTGTGTCCATATGTTCATTGCAGCATTGTTTACAATGGCCAAGATGTGGAGGCAGCCTGGGGTCTGTCAATGGAAGAATGGATAAAGAGGAGGCGGTACATATATACAATGGACTATTGCTTGGCCATAGAAGGGAATGGGTTCTTGCCATCTACAGCAACATGGATGGACCTGGAGGGTTTGTGCTGAGTGCAGTATCTGACAGAGAAAGACAGATGCAATGTGACTTCACCCGGATGGCTCAGTGGTTAGAGCGTGTGCTCTTAACAACAAGGCTGCTGGTTTGACTCCCATATAGGATGGTGGCTACACCCACCTGCAACTAAGGTTGTAACACAGCACCTTGAGCTTAGAGGCCACGAGCTGCCAACGGGCAGCCAGATGGCGACTGATGCCCTCCACAACTAAGAGTGAAGAACAACAACTTAGCTGGCCCCCCTCCCCAATTCCCCAACACTGTTCCCCTCCCCCAATTCCCCAATTAAAAAAAAAAGTACTAATTTGTTGTTACACAGTAATCATAGGGATGTAAGGTATAGCATAAGGAATACAGTCAATAATATTGTAATAGCTATGTATGGTGTCATATTGGTACTAGATTTGTTGGGGTGATAGATGGGAGGGGGTTGGGGACAGGATGAAAAAGTGAATGAATTTAGAGGTATCAATTGGTAGTTACACAATAGTCATGGAGATGTAAAGTAAAGCATAGGAATATACTAAATGATATGTTAATAACTATGTATATGCCAGGTGGGTACTAGACTAGTCAGGGGGATTACTTCTTAAATTATATAAATGTCTAACCACTATCTGTACACTTGAAATTAATATAAAATAATATTGACTGTAAAATGTAAGTGAAAAATTTAAAAAGGGGAAAAGGTAAAGTAGAATAAGAGGTTTAAGTCTCTAAGTATAAAACAAAAAAGTCATGGGGATGTAATGTATAGCATGGGGAATATAGTCAATAATATTGTGATAACAGGTATGGTGTCAGATAGTTGTTGGACTTACGGCGATCACTTCTTTAGGCATATAAATGTTGAATAACTATGGTGTACTCCTGAAGCTATTATAATGTTGTATGTTAGCTATCTTTTAATAAAAATCTTTTTAAAAATAAGAATAGCTAACTCTTCACATGGATGATTAAGCTGTTCTAACTTGTCACATGGATTGTCTCATAAAACTGTCTCAGTGACATGGGGAAGGTTTTGAAAAATTCCAGGGACACTGTCCGCTGTAACAGACATACACTGCTGCCTCGTCTCAAAGCTTAACTCCATCTGGGGTTTCCAGGAGTGGAAAGGGTGGCCGTGGCTGAACAAAGCTAGAAGGGGGAGCTGCAGGGTACGCTGCTACAGTGATCCATCCTGCTGGCCCATTCCTGGTCCTTCAGGACCCATCTGTGACCCGTCCTCAAAAAGCAGCTGTAGCAGTCCTGAGAATGGCTCCTGAGGGAGCTGAATGGCTCAACAGGGCAGTCAAGTGTAGGCATGAATTGAGAGAAACCTCCTAACCCCATCACCTTTAAGGACAAAGTGGAGAAGAGGGTCACTGGGCCAACGCTTTGTGGTGGTGCCAGTGCTCTGAGCTCTCTGTGAAGCACCCCATAATGGAATGGGGAGAGGTCTCCAGCAGTCCTTTTAAGAGGAGGCAGACCCTGAGGGCACAGTGTCCAGAGTACCTTTGTTTAGTGGGTACATGGAGGCTAATAAGTTTTTCTGAGATTCTCTTGGAGGGGGACATAGAGGGCCCTATCAGAATGATTCCCCCACTCCCCCACCCCAACTTCCAGGGACACTTGGGGTGGGGAAGTGAGTGGGTTGGGGCAGCACTTAAAAAATCTTATTCAAAATACAGTGAGTAACCAGTCAGAAGAATCCTGCCCCCGGGGCCCCAAACTCTACCTGAGTTGTCCCTTTCTGGCTCTTTCCCACCCCCCATTAGCCGTACCTCTGAACCCACAATTGTCTTCACATGCAACACAACACTGGGGGGTCTTTGTCACAGGCCTGATGTTCTCACCTTCTGCTGCATCACTCTTGGGGGTCAGCTGCCAGCTATCTGAGTACTTCATGACAGCAACAGTTTTGCTGTATTGACATTCTTGAGCACTTGCTTCTGCAAAAAAAGTGTGAGGGGAAGGAAAAGTAAGAACAGACGTGCAAGCAGACTTCATGAGCGCAGGCATCATGAGCATGCCTCTGACATCAACAGCCCCTGGGTATTTCCTCAGGTGCCCATTGTGTGAAGGACTCGAGAGACAGGGGTTCGTACTGTTAAATGTCACTGTGGGGAGGCTGCAGGGTATTTAATATATTTAATGCATTCACCACCTAGAAGAAGAATGAACACACGCTCCTCCTTTAGAGAACAAAAGGGAGAAAAGGAGGACGGTTTGAGGAAGAGCTCTCCTGGATGTCAACCTTTCTTGTTTCTGTTGCCTCCTTGGTATCTTTATTTCAGGTGGACAGGGGCTGGGAGGAGGGACATTCAGTCATGAGGACACAAGAAGGACATGCTGAGGTCCCCTCCCCCCTGTGCAGCTGCAATCTACAACATAATTCTCAGCACTGGCTGCATATTCAAATCCCGCAAATTCATCTTCTTGGTCTCCCTCCCACACCTCCCCCAAATCACCTGAAAAGCCAATATGTGTGTCCTATACGAGCTAATGAAGGAAAGAGGCCAATTTGAGAAGAGCATTAGCTTGCATATTCGTGTTTCTGTACCCCCTCCTCCATCACTGGCTTTGAGAGACTCTGCCCCCTGGAAGTGAATGGGGTCACATTCTGGAGCCACTTAGTCACTAGGAAGCGCTGGTCTCCTCTGTGGGGTCCTGGCCTCCCTGCTCCTGCTTGAGTCTCCAACCCTGTGCTCCAGTAGGGATGGGAAGGCAGGCCCGCAGAGGCAGGCAATCCCCTCCCAGAGCCCGACAGCTGAGGCTCATGCAGGAAATCCTAGGCTGATGGGGAAAAGGGAGAGGGAAATGTACAGAAGCATTAAAGAAAAGATTCTGAGATCCCCACTCTGGGTTTCACACACACGGTTATGCTGTTTCTCTTCAGGGATACCTGGGGATCAGACTGGGGGCTGGCATCAGCCAGAGAAAGGGGTGACTTTCTTCTATTGTAAGCCAAGCCTCGGGGCTACCTACCCTAAAGGGTTGCCTTTTCCCCGTTTGCACAGAGATACTGTTTAAGGTTTGGGAGGGGCTTCCCTCATTTCTTTGTACATACTTTCTCCCTCCTCTTTCTCAGGGCCCATACTGAGATCTTCAGTTAAGGCATCGTTACTCATTTTTTACTTGGTTGTTTTGTTTTGTTTTTCCAGCTTAGAACTGAAAGTGGGTTAGAGTCTACTGACACAGATCATGTTCTAGAATCCTGTTTCTCCAACTGGAAAGTTTGGGAACCCCTAAAATAGTGAGAAAGTTGTAGTATCAGGTTTGAACTGGGCACACCTTCCAAGCAAGACTCTGCCTTTTCCTCATGCTAAAACCTCCAGTTCTATCTTCCTCTCTCCCATGTTATTTCTGATAACAAAGGAAAAAATAAGGGGAAAAAATGTTTGTTTATCCCTCTCTAGCAACCCTGTGCACTGTGGTGAGAGGGAGGGGGTGATGTAGGTAGGCAAAAAGCCTAGAAATTCAGAGACCGAAACCTCTAATGAGGGGAGCTCCTGGTTTTTATTAACCAGTTATTTCTAGTTTTTAGTTTAGATCTTTCTATCTCAGTGTCTCCATCAGTAAAATGTGGCCAAAACCAAGCACAGCTCACAGGGACACTAAGGTTAGCTGTTATTAGAATGAAAGCACTATGAAAACAATTTAAAAGGTTCTTCAAATACCCATCTCTTCACTGGTATAGCCCCAATTTAAAAAATAATAACCACATTTCATGTCCCAAAGAGACATTCTACATATATTAGCTTTGTAAACGAGAAACCTCTGGAATTAGAAATTTTTCTTTTCAGGCCCCTGGAGCAGCTAAAGATTAGCTCCTGTCAAAATGAATCCATGTCGTTCTCTAGCTTACTTCAGAGGTTCAGGAAGGTCTGCTTCTGCTACTGGGCTTCCCCTTCCGGTCAGCATTTCCCAGCATTAACCAGGGGTGTTGTTAAGGGTCCCTGACTGCATGGGGTGGATGGAATCTACCTTGAAGCTGATGGAGGCTTCCTTGTTGAATTCTAGCTGCTGCTTCTTTTGAGCCCCATGAGCACAATGGTGATCCCTGGTCAAGCTTAGTGCTAGGTGATTTAACTTAAACTCACTCCCTTGTCTTTTCTTGAGCTGGGTAGTCATGGATTTTGTCCCTCCTCTTCCCAGTTTTGGAAGGCAGCAGAAAATGAGGAAAGGGGAAGGTTCCAGTGTATGAGGAAAGTCTGTCCTGGGGCTTCTGAGGCAGAGGAGCAGAGGGAGACTCTGGAATCACCCCCCAGTTACAGGAGAAGCTGTTGGAAAAAGCCCCTTTCTAAGACAGGGAAGAACCTTGAAAATAAATGCATGAGGGACATTAGACTGGGTCCAAGAGCCCAGCTCAAGGAACATTATCCAGGATGCAAGAGAAGAATGTTCAGGGCAAAAATGATGGCAGTGATCCTCAGGCGCTCTTACCAAATGAAAGGTAGCATCTTGGTTGTGCACAGGGATGATACCCACGCTGACCCTGCAACCCAAGGACCACACTACACACATCTAACATTGTCAGTGGGAAAAATATTCAATACTCATGACGAGGCTTCTCTTTTTTGCTTACCTTTGTGATCAAGCACAGTTTGAGGCCTCCCCATTATCTCATCCTCGGAGGCATTCAAATTCTGGATCAGAAAGTACGTGGTCATTTTTCCTTTCCCTTTCACTTCGATTTCACCCCTCTCAATTATTTCAAACCCTTGATTTTCCAGGGCCCTGCACAGAGGGGGAAAACAATGCACCAGCTATCAAAGATCACAGGTCTGTAACTTGAGAGTTGGCTACAATGGGACGGTGATGAGAGAGGAGAAGTCTGGGATACAGGGTACACAATGGAAAAGGACTGGGGACTCTGAGACTGCAGGGCCTGCTAAGGGGGACAAAGAGGCAGGTGGGGAGAGGAGGGAGGGATGGAGCTCAGACATTCTGAACAGGGTGCCAGAGGCAGAGGCAGAGCACAGGGGACCTACCGAAACCCTGTGACCCTATCACCACCTCTCCTCCCTCCAACACACTGCTCATACCAGCAGCCCTCACTCCTCTACAACCAAACCCCACATGGTTCTGAAAGAGGCGGCTCCTCAGAGATCAGCCCTCTTCTTTCCATCTTCCCCAAGCACCCGATACGCCCCAAGTCTGTCATTATTCTTATCCTAACTCCCCAAGCTTCTCCATGATTTCCGTCTGTCAAAGAGCCAAAGAAGTAGAGGATAGAGAAGGGGACTAGGAAAAGAGACAGAGCTATGGAAGAACTACAAAATGTTTATTTATTTACTGGCCACTGAGAGAGAAACCACAGAACAGTGCCAACCAGCAACGTTCAAATTCATGGTCAGCTGCCTCAGCCAGGCTTCAGCACACATCGACCTTCCCTTGCGCTTGGCCAGTTTCCTGGAGGCTTCAGACCTTCAACATGCCTCACTTTCCCCAATTTGGCATTGGCTCTCCTCACTGTCAAGCAGCTGACTGTGCCTGCTTCTTTGTGAGCTGATTCATCTATGAAACTTTAACCATTATAGTGAAATCCAGCAACTTCTCACCCCATCGACCACACTCACCCTTTCCCCCAATCTCAGAGGGTGAGGTGTCTTTTTCAAGGGCACCCGATCCACGCTCCCTTCCCACCTTTTTGGGCCCTGGCCCCATCTGCCACCTCTTGCCTAATCTTCAGCTTTCTCTCCATTTTCATCTTCTCCTCACCCTACAAGCATGCTAAGATATCTTTTATCCTAAATAGAAACAAAGAACTCACTTGCATTAATCCCATACAAATGTTCTCTCCCTTTTATACGTCAACCCATAATCCTGTGTCTATCCCCACCACTCCACTACAACCACTTCTGATAATGTCCCCCAAATGTCTGGTGAATATTTTTCAGTCCTGTTACTATAGCTGACATTTTTGTTCAGTTCTCCCTCCCTAAAAATATCCATAAGTGTGCTTCTCACCTTGAACTTTCCCCGGGTTCTTTTCTACTATATTTCTCCAGCCTCTTATGTGTGCTCTTCTTTCTCCATCTGCCACTTAAATGTTAGTTCTTTCTACTGTTTTTTCTCACACTGCGTCCTTCTCCAGGTGATCTTATCAACTCTCATGGCTTAATTATTACCTATATGCTGCTTGCTCCAAGTCTGGATCCCAGCCAACAAACAGCTCCATTACAAATCTCACCCATCCATTTAATAGAACCTCTACCTAGATTCTCCACAATTCCTTTGAATTCAGCACTCCTTGTCTGCCCCTATGTCCTGGAATCCCCCTTGTCTTATTTCAGGTAATAAGATTCAGGCCCTAGTCACCCAACGTGGAGACCTGGGAGATATTCGAGGCTCCTCTCTCTTTCTCATTCTTCATTTCTAGCAATTACCAAGGTCAGCTGATCTAGTTACCCCTAAATCCCCACCACCCACGTTCTGGTTCAAACCAAACTCCTAACAGGTCTTCTCTTTCCCATTTCCTGAATCTCTGTCAGTCTGGAGTGGTCAGTGTCAAATGGACCCTGACATGGCCATTGTCTCCGATCTCATACTCTTTAGGGGCTCTTCCTCTCCTTCAGTGTAAGGCCTTGCTCTTCAATAAGACACCCATAGCTCTTACCACTTTCTGCTTCATTTTTTCCACCGCATAAAAGCTAAATTGTTATAGTTCTTGGCACTTATTCTACATCTGTGTTTGTACTGCTTGTTTTTTCACTCCCAATAATGCAGTTTTGGCTCAGTCTTACTCTGGGAATCCTTGTTCAAGATTCAGCTCAGGAATCTTCTCCTCCACAAAGAATTGCTTTACTGGGTTAGGCACCCTTGCCTCAGGCTCCCATATCACACCCTGTAATTCCCTCCAAGCCTGATCCCTGGGCTGTATCTGGCTCCTTTCCTTCCTAGCTTACTGATGACCTGAAGCACCTTACTAATCTTTTTGTGCCTAATTTTTTTCATCTATAGATAACAATAATAATAGTATAGCTTCAGAGAGTTGTTGCAACAACTAAATGCACTAACATATGTAAAAGAACTTAGGACAGAATGTGAAGTCTTTAAGTTTTCAAGAAACCATAAGTATCATTTGATAAATATCTTTATCATTGTACTTATCACAATTTTAAAATAATGATCTGTGAATATTCCTTTTCTCTTCCACAAGGCTGAAGGTCAGCAAACTTTTTTTTTGGTAAAAGAGCAGATAAGAATGGTTTTGGCTTTGCAGGCCATACCATCTCTCACTCTACTTAGCACTGCCATTTTAACAAGAAAGCAGCCATGACAGTAAGAACATGGCTGTGTTTCAATAAAATTTTACTTATAAAAATAAGCGGCAGACTGAACTTGGCCTGTGGGCAAAATTTGCCGATCCCTGTGCTTAGACCCTGTGCTCCTTGAGGGCAAAAACTATCTTATAGTAGAGATTCAACAATGTTTATTGTCTGACACCATGCCTTCTCTAAGCTAGTGTGGCATGGGAGAAAAAACATGGGTTTCCTACACTACCTCCTCCCATGGCAGCTAGGCCCTCTGTAAATTCTGGAAGGAGAAGAGACAAAGAAAGGCATGAAGACATGAATGGTTACCTGTAGGCTGTGGGGCTCAGGTGCACTTTCTCAGGAAGCCCATGACTTTCCATCCTAGAAGCTGTGTTCACAGTGTCACCAAATAAGCAGTATCGGGGCATTTTGTCCCCCACAACACCTGCCAAGACTGGTCCAGTATGAATCCCCACTCTGATCTGTACAGAGAGAACCCCACTGAAAAGAGCCCATCAAATACTCTTGCTTTTATTTTTAAATTAAGGAATAATTTACATAAAACAAAAATGACAGATCTTAAGTGTTTAGCTTCATGAGTTTTGGCAAGTGCATAAATCCTTATAGCCATCATCTAAAAGAAAATATAGACTAGTTCCATTACCTCACAAAATTCTCTTGGGCCCCTTTCCAATTCAGTGCCATTCTC